CCGGCCCGTTCCCCCCGGCCGGGGGTTCCTGCCCTGCTCCGCTTTGGGGGTGCGGAGAGCCCAGGGCACCCTGCCTGGCTGGGCACCCACCTGGGGCTGCGGGCGGTGCCCGGTCCCTGCGGCTCTGCGTGGGGACAGCTGCCTGATGGGGCCGCCTCGGGCTCTTTGTCTTGAGGGCGAGGAGCAGAGGACAACTTGTCTTTAAGGGGATGTCGGTCGGGAGCCCCCTCCGCACAGGCAGAGCCATGCCTGGCCATGCCGCCAAGGAGTCCTATCTGCAGCCCAGGGCCCGGAGGGGGCTGTCAAAAGCTCTGCTCCTTGCCCTCCCTGAGTGCTTCATAGCTAAGAAGAGCTTTGGTTTGAATAGTTTCTGCAGCTGGTTCGAGGCTGAAGTTACCCACCCATGTGCACATGTGCCTGCTCCGGACTGCAGGCATGGAAGTCTTTGCAAAAGAATCATGTCACTGCGGAGGCAATCGCCTTCCTATGGTGCAGCCACCGCTGGAGAAAGGCACAGGAAAAACGCAGGGCAGCAGTGTTAGAAACCAGAGGAACACGCTGCCTGGAGACCCTGGCCAGGTGCCTTTTCTGGGGAAATCTGATCAGCTGGGAACCTGTCTGAAGAGCAGAGCTCAAGCAGCAAAGCCACGACATCTTGCAAACCCAGAAACACGCGTGAAGCTAACGCCCTGGGAGGCCTGCCTTGCCCTCACTGCTCCAAAAGCCGCCTGCGGAGGACCCGAGCCTGTTTGCAACGGGGAGCAAGCTCAGGGCTGAGCTGGGGGGGCCGGTGCAGGTCTGCGGAGATGCTGAAGGGCTTTTGCAGGGCTTCAGCGCTGCTTTGAGGAGGAGCTGCCCGGCTGCCCGCTGGCCCGGTGCTGGACAGCGAGCGGCAACATCAGCTCTGTAATTCCGCCGTGGTCACAGTCTGAGGGGATCTGCTGGGTTTTGGGCGTATCTCCCCATATGTGATGGAGAAAGTGTTTTTGTTTTTTTGGGTTTTTTTTGGGGTTTTTTTGATGATGTTTAATGAACCAGTGGGCCACTGCCATTCTGCTGTTTGTGATCTCGTATTATTTGTAACCTCTAGACATACAGAGAATCATTAGTATTCATTAAAATGTTTACAAATGCCAAATTACTGTGCGTGTGCTGCAGTGCTATCACTATGAGCCATGTGCGGTTTGTCAGCTGTCACTCAGTATTCACAAAGTTTTCGCCATTCGCATCAGAAGCAGAGATGGTACTTTGTACCTAAAGGTAATTTACGAAGTGATATGCCATATGTAATAAGGAAAATTCTCAATTATTGTTTACCCAGAGTAATTTGCCTGGAATATTAGATAAATAAGAGATGGCAGAGCTGAGCAGACCGTAGTTTTCCTGATCATGATATTTATCTCTTGCTACAGTAGAAGGACAAAAAAAAAAAACCAAACTAATATCCTTCAAAAAACTATGCTACCTTGGTAATGAAGCAAAGGAAATTGCCCAACCCAGAAGAGGAAGTCGAAGCAAATTAAATATGGATATGCAAGCAGATGGTATGATGGATAACATTTTGACCTGACTTATGCAGTTCACATACAACATGTAGGTTTCACAGGTTCATAAGCGCTTGATATCATTTGTGTTCAGATAGGGTGTGTTGATCAGCAGTCGGACCGCAGTGTCTTCTGCAAGGCTAAGAGGTCCTCTGAGCCTCAGAGCTTTTAAACCACTTAATCCCCAAGGGCCAAAATAGGACCTTGCCAGAGGGTCTGAGCTGTAACTCAGGTATAAGCTCCCCTGAGCCTGGTTTTGGTTTATTCTGAAGTTTGTGACTGAGAAGCAGGGACAGCTGATGGCTGGTGTCGAGGTCCCATCCCAGCGCTCCCTATCAAACCCTGCTCCCGAAAGTGCCTGCCCTGCTGCAGGGATGTCTCAGCTGGCTGTGAGGAGGCAGTTGAAGGCACGCAGTGCACAGCCTTGGGGCTAAGGCACGTTTCCTCAGTACACACTGATTTGCCGTGGTTCAGGAGCTGCTCCTCCTTAACAGAGAGATCATCCCTGGAAGCCCCCAGGAAAGGCCAGAGGAGCAGCCCGGGGAGCTCTGCCGCCGCGGCCCGGCAAGCTCTGCCTCCTCGCCTGCTCTCCTCCCCTCCTCGCCTGCTTTCCCTGCTCTACTTCTGGGAAGCAGTTAGCTTGAATATGAATTCTGCAGTCACCCTCTATCTTTAAAAAAGGTAGGAAGGTAGTATGTGACTATTTTTAGGGCTGTTTTATACTGAAAGAGAAGTCCGCATTTGAAAGTTGTTTTGGATTCATGCGGTGAGTGAATGAGGAGTGAATAACCCTCTTGTAGGCTGGCCGTTTGGGGGAGTTTCTCTGTGATGCCAACCTTCAGGCTAAGAGACGGGCGGCTTCTGAGACCTCCTGAGGTCCAGGAAGCTTGAGTTTTCGATGTAGTTTTGGAGCAGGCCCTATGCTGGGTGCAGGCCCGGCGAAGTTTGTGTGTTACCACGTCAAGGATCAGTGCCTCAGGACCAGCTCCTGCTGCTGGGTTGGCTAAACCTTGCTGGTGACCATCTCCTTCAGCTTTGGGGAAAGGGGCAAGCAGTCTGACTCGCAGAGCGTTTTGCACAGGCTTTGTATGCATGTGGCTTAGTGACACCGGCTTCTGGTTCTGCTGTTTATTATTTCAGTTTGGAGGTCCTAGAGGGACCAATCTGGAGTTTCCTTTGTATATATTTCCTCTGATCAGCGTCTCATTTATGTTTTCTCTTGTGACTTGCAGGATTGCACATCGATTTATAAGCTGGACAGAGGAGGTATGATGAAGCTCTGTCTTCTCTAAAACTCTCTTTCAAATAAGCGAAGTTTCAGCGCAGACTGATTATGCGCCCACTGAAGATACGATGCTGGGATGGATCTGCTCTTCCCAGCAGGGCACCTTCTTCTACAGGCCAGGATTAATTCTCCTTGTTTCTAAAATTTGCATCCTGTAGTTTTATTAAGTCCCCATAGTCCCCATGCTAGAAAAATGCAATAGTTTTATTATTCTCCCAGGTCAAGATGTTTTCACTATAACATTCAAGAGGTTCCTTGAACTACAAGACATATGCTATAGTCTGTGTTAAATCTGAGCCTATTATACATGCCTCTATATTGTCTTATTGGAGAATCACACTACAAAATCAGTTTTCAGATTCTTAGCAGTGTTGTAGGGACGCTGAGATTTTGTTAGCTGCTTTTTCAGGTGCTTAAGACTTTGTTAGCTGCTCCTTATCTTTCTAATGAACCAAGAAATGCAGACGCAAGGAGTTGGACTGCTTCTCTCCCTGGGAGGCATATCAATACACGTGACAAGGCAACTGTCTTGGCTTGCTTTGTTGTTTTTATCTGATCCACTTAAGTTTTATTCCATGAAATATCTTTTTAGCTCTGAAGAGTATGTTAAAGTGTTTCTTAAATACAGCATCATCTTTGCCCGCAGGTAGCTCTTACATATAATAAACCTGGAGCTGGGAAGGTATTACTTTTTAGCTGTTTGATTAAATATTTCTGCATAATTGACAGCACCTCCCACCTTCAGCGACTGTGATCTTCCGCAGCTGACAAAGTCGTAACCATGCTTGAATCATTTGAACACAAAGTTAAGCTTGCTCACTCTCTGCCTGCAGGTTGTCTTGGAGAACGTGCGGCCTGAAAACCCCTTCACACGCAGCCCAGTCCGAACGCACAGAGACGGTCACAGCCCAGTTCGATGTACAAACGTCCCTCCAACTCTGTGAGGCAGCAGATGGCTGAACAGGATAAAAAAGTCTGCTGCCCTGCTCCCAGCAAATGCACACGGCAGTGCGGGCACTGATGGCCTTTGCTCCAGCTCAGGGTTCGCCGACATCAGTAAAAGTGCATCCATAGCAGGGTGAAATTTTTCCCCGTGATGTGCCTTCTGCCTTTGGCTGTGCCTGCCCGGGTACCGTTCTCACTCGCCTCTTCATGAAGGGAGACCTGGAAGCTCCGGTTCCTCCTGGAATAAACAAAACTAATTTGGTAAATGCAGTTCTGACAAGGAGGGTGTTACTCAAATCTGCGCGGCCAGAAGTAACTTTTCCTCCAGACTTTTCCAGCCCCTTCCAACCTTTTCGTAGAAGAATTTGCACTTCAGTACAGGTTTATCAAACCCTCTCAAGGGAGCTTGCAGCCCAGGTGAGGACAAACTGCCCCCGGGAGGACAAACGCCCCTCTGCGTTACTTGACCTGCACAGCAATTGTGGTTTTTAGTTACGAGTGGCATTGTGGTTACACAGTAAGGACAGCTGTGTCCTGAAACCAAGGGGTAGGAAATCGGAAGACACAGTAGCACCACTAACATTTTGGGGGGAAATGAGTGCTTTTTTGGTGCCTTCTCCTTGATGCAAGCCTGTGTCCCCGCTTGCGCGGAGTCAGAGCTTGCCAAGGGAGGAGCTCGCTCTCCCGGGGGAAGCCAGAGCGTGCGGGGCTGCAGGCAGGGCAAGCCCCGCTCCTCCACGAGAGATCCTGTTACTGCTATGCCTGAACCGTGGTTTTTCCACTGCTTATTTCTGTCCCATGGAGTTAGCTCATCTGTGAAACAAACTTTAAAGAACAAGATGATTAAAAAAACTCTGTGTTCATGTCTTTGCTGATGAGGGCTGAAAGTGCTCTGGCATTCACACGAGTATCTGTCACCGTGCAACCCGTCCCTTTGTTTTATTTCCTTTTCTTCTGCCTTTCATCATGGGAAAATGTTTATTTGACTCTGAAAATTCCCTTTTCTGAGATCCCTCACAAGTCAGCAGCGCACACGGGCGAGTGTGGGCAGCGCAATGGAGAGGGGAGATCCCAGAGCTGCGAGGACGAAACCTCCGGAGGAGCCTTGGATTTCCTGCTTTGCCGGACCATCGAGCTGCTCGGCTACTGCACAAACAGCAAGGCCAAAGCCCAATATGAGGTTTTGACATGTAGCGTTGGAGGATAGGGTACAGAAAACGCCAGGGGACTACTTCCTATTCTAGAGACGCCTTTCCAGTGAAATGCTGCTCTTCGATATGGTTCCCTTTTAAAAACAACAACAACAACAACAGCAGCAACTTGTCTGTTAAACTTGGGGAGATATCAGGCTTGAAAAACAGCGTGCCAGTCCAAACCTGGATGGGACTTAATGAAATCAAGTCTTGCATGCGCTTCGTCCTGCTGCTCAACCAGGTGTCAGAATGACTTCTACTAGGGGCAGAATATGGTTTT